GAGTGATGCTGTCAGAGGTCAAGTCTACTAAACCAACACCCATTAGTATTTTAAATCTTCCTCAACAAGTTGAATTTCATAATTTAAATATCAAAATATTGATTTCTTTTGTACGATATAATCTTCATATTATGTACCATGTTGGAGTGCAACTTGGTAAACTGTGTCTCCTACTAAGCGTTGCAGTGTGACCCTAAATTGTCAATATTGGCTTGCCCAGACAGCACAATGGCATCTTAACTTACTGCCATTTATAAAAGCACTCTTGGTCAGGAGGAGATCTACCGATTCCTTAAGCATCCAGGTTGGTGGAATCCGTTCATCTGCATGATATTTTTCCAGTCTTTGCAGGACCATGTAATTTATAATTCTGGGGTTTGTTTGCAGAAACCATGCACATGTGCCAAAGATGGAAAAGACGTGTTATTCTTCTCTTTGCTTGCAACTGATAGGTGCATTAACCTTTTATTTCCTAATGTAATATGGAACCTTGCCTTTTTGATTTCATGTTTTAGTCAGTGACTACTACCTGCCAAAGACTTCACATTTTTACAGAATTTTTTAGACAGGCAAGGTCCCTAAAGAGTTTTTGTGTGCAATGACACCAATGATGATGACACTTTCTGCAGTGACCACAGGCCTTGGCCTCCCATGCTTCGGGTATTGAAAATGTGGTTGTTATTAGGTGGTTATAGAGAGAGGGTGAGAGCTAACTTTCACATACAGTGGCTATGTATTGTCTTATGTTAATGTGGAGGTCAGATGACGATGTGTATTTATAAATGCATTTTTGCGCAGCAACTAGTCCAACAATTCTTTTCCAGAGAAATGCATTTAATCAGCTCAGTGACAATCCATAAAACAGAGGTACAGACAAGGCAGATGACAGGGTACCCAGAATACTCATGCAATCATCAGAAAACCTCAGAGGACCCACTTTCTCCTGTCACTCTTTCTCCTGACCCCACTTTCTCCTGTCACCACTCAACCAAAAAAAACCTTCCCTAATATACTGTACACCTTTTCCCTTTAACCAAAGTGTCAAGCTATCTGATTGGTTGGTTTTATAAGCATGTTTGGTCTTAAGTGTTACAAACAATGTGTCTAGACCTAGAACAGCTGTTTGCATAGATTTTAATTAAAAAGTTAAATAGATACTCCTTGTCTTGTTTATGGCAAAACTGCAATCTTTGATATCCTTGTACAAAGGTGGACGTGACACCTACAGTTGCAAGAAAAAGTATGTGAACCCCTTGGGATTACGTGGAGTTTTGCATGAATTGGGCATAAAATGTGCTCTGAACGTCATCTAAGTCACAACAATAGAAGAACACAGTCTGCTGAACATAATACTACACAAACATTAGATGTTGCCATGGTTTAATTGCACATAACATGTAAACATTCACAGTGCAGGGAGGAAAAAGTATGTGAACCTTTGGACTTAATAACTGGTTGACCCTCCTTTGGCAGCAATAACCTCAACCAAATGTTTCCTGTAGTTGCAGATCAGACCTGCACAACGATCTGGAGTAATTTTGGACCACTCCTCTTCACAAAACTGTTTCAGGGTAGCAATATTCTTGGGATGTCTGGTGTGAATCACTCTCTTAAGGTCATGCCACAGCATTTCAATCGGGTTGAGGTCAGGACTCTGACTGGGCCACTCCAGAAGGTGTATTCTGTGCTGTTGCAGCCATTGTTTTGTTGAATTACTTGTATGCTTTGGGTCATTGTCCTGTTGCATCACCCATCCTCTGCAGAGCTTCAGTTGGCGGACAGATGGTCGTACGTTTTCCTGCAAAATGTCTTGAGAAACTCTGGAATTCATTTTCCCAACAATGACAACAATCCGTCCAGGCCCTGAGGCAGCAAAGCAGCCCCAAACCATGATGCTCCCTCCACCATGTTTTACAATGGGGATGAGGTTTTGATGTTGGTGTGCTGGGCCTTTTTTTCTCCACACATAGTGTTGTATGTTCTTCCCAAACAACTCAATTTTGGTTTCATCTGTCCACAGTATATATTGCCAGTAGTGCTGTGGAACATCCAGGTACTCTTTTGCAAACTTCAAACGTGCTGCAATATTCTTTTTGGACAGCAATGGCTTCCTCTGTGGTGTCCTCCCATGTACTCCATTCTTGTTTAATGTTTTCCTTATTGTAGATGTGTCAACAAAAATGTTAGCATGTGCCAGAGATTTCTGTAGGTCTTTAGCTGACACTCTGGGATTCTTCTTTACCTCATGCAGCATTCTGCGCTGTGCTCTTGCAGTCATTTTTACAGGATGACAACGCCTAGGGAGAGTAGCAACAGTGCTAAACTTTCTCCATTTGTAGACAGTCTGTCTTACCGTGGACACATGAACATCAAGGCTTTTGGAGATACTTTTGTAACCCTTTCCAGCTTCATGCAAGTCAACAATTCTTGATCGTAGGTCTTCTGAGAGCTCTTTTCTGCGAGGCATGGTTCACATCAGACAGTGCTTCTTGAAACCAGTAAACCCAAACAGGTGTGTGTTTTTTAAGGGCAGGACAGCTGTCAGCAACACATCCAATATCATCACACTGATTGGAGTCAAGGTTGGCTCACTCCTGGCTCCAATTAGCTCTGGGAGAAGTCATTAAGCTAGGGCCTCACATACTTTTTCCCCTGCACTGTGAATGTTTACAAGTTATGTGCAATTAAACCATGGCAACATCTAATGTTTGTGTAGTATTATGTTCAGCAGACTGTGTTCTTCTATTGTTGTGACTTAGATGACGTTCAGAGCACATTTTATGCCCAATTCTTGCAAAACTCCATGTAATCCCAAGGGGTTCACATACTTTTTCTTGCAACTGTATGTTGAAATTCTCTTCACCATAAACAAGTACACTCTGAATATTTAAGACCTTTCCAAATCTAATCAGACAAACTTGCATTTTACAATGCTGGTAGATTTGCAAATAACCTGCTCTGAAAACTCCCTCTGACTCTCCACATATGTATCCAAAAACAGGTTAACCCAACATAATAAAGGTAAGGTAATTACCTCATACATTAATTAACATAGTAAGGAGTCCCTGGCTATCTTTTGGTCAATAACATGAATATACACCATATATACAGTCATTTGGTTACAGTCATACTATATGTATGACTATAACCAATATGCATTTTATTACATTACTAACAATGTTTCACATTTCAAATGGAAGAGGACTGGAAGTGGGGGGCCCACAACAAAATTGACATTTCCTGTATGTCAAAAATTATTTTTTGCCAAATTGATACTTAGGGACACACACAGACACTAACACACGCTGCAAGAGAAATGTAAGGTGTGCTCTGTATGTAGGTAGACTTTTACGTTGCACTACATTGCCATTCCGAGAGTGGATAACTATATGTATCAATGTACTTGGATTACTTTGTGAAATGTATAATTATAATGTTCAGTATTCTTTCTCTTTTATATTAGTTTTGCTGGGGTTTTCTGTTTCTCAGTCAGCAGAGGAGGTGTCTTCAGAAGCGGCAGACAGGGAGTCTCAAACAGATCCGGAGGTCCCAGTAGTAAGTATAACCTAGTTTTCCCCTCTGTCGTACGGATTTGATTATAAATAGGTTACTATATTGCATTTTATGGGGTAAATGTAACATCCATTTAAGCAACACCTCCCTGCTAGCTTTACCATCAGAAAAGGTTAGCATTGTGTGTGTGTTTTTTTTCTTTTGGATGTTACATTGTACGTGTCAAACAAAGGCTTAGCTAATACACCTGAGGCAGACATGTTAACAGATTTTACCATGGGAAATCCATATGTAGTCAATGCCCTTTCATAATAGACTGTGAAGGTGATGTCTACTTACATCTAATGCTGAGCTGTCAAACTGTCTGCTTGTAGAGATTGTTAAAAACTACAACCTGGATAATGTTAGGGTGAAACAGTTTTTTGAATGTTTGCATATTTCATTCATGGGTCCCATCTTTGTCCTATAGCTGGAGCTGGTGGAAGAGCAACACGAAGTTGAGGACCAACCCTGCCCACAGCTTGTCGATGTGCTGAGCCACCTTCTGTAGGTTAAAGAGCAATGGTTTTTGGTGTCTATGAGGTCACAGTGCTCTTTCGACCTCCAGGTTCAGCTGTGGCACCAGCACCAACTTCAGAGCTACGTATCTGTGGAGAGGGATCTGTGCAGGCAGGAGAGACACCAGGAACATCAGGCTGCCTACACTGGCCATCAAGTGGAAAGGATCCAGTTCTCTGCCATATTGTCACTATGTATGGAGAGAGTTCTCCAGAGGTTGATCTTGAAGAGAGGCAGCAGTGGATAGCAGAGCTGAGTGGCATGTGGGGAGGTCAATGGCTCCTGCTGCTGTTTCAATCAATCAGGAGGGAGAGACCAGGGAAAGCCAAGGTTCTTGTACATATTGCTGGATTGAGATGGGGCTCAGGTAAGTATTAGGGGGGTTGGGAGGCTGCTGCACACTGAGAGATTTTTACCTTCATACATGGAATGCCTGAAGGTAAGAAACCTTGTGCCTTTACAACCACTTTAATGTTACTACCAAATCTATTCTGCAAAATCTGGGTACACATTTTCACACCCAATTTTATAGACATTCTTGCTAGAGATGAGCGAATTATTTAAAAATTCGATTCGGCTGATTCGCCAAATTTGCGGAATAAATTTGATTCGATGCGAATTTATTCGCTGCGAATTTAACTTATTAAAAGGGTTTCTAGGCTTCAGAGAGCCTTTATATTAGTGCAGAACACTGTACCTTTAATTTAAATGCCCTTGGAGTCTGCTGGGGAAGAGAAATAATACTGTCAGTCAGTATGACATGCAGATGAGTGCCGTCGATCTTAGAATCACCGCACACTTCACTCATTTGGGCAGTCACGGGGCCAAAACCAGAGTGTGGAGCCACAGTGTGGCGGTGGAGGCAGCAGCAATGGGAGGCCATACAGCACCCTATGACAAAATGGAACCCACCAGCAGTGTGAGGAGACCTGAAAAGTGGCACATGGCAGAGTGTGGCGATGGAGACAGCAGCAATGGGAGGCCGTACAGGGACCCATAACACACTCTGGACCTGGCAGCAGCATGAAGAGGCGGTACAGGGGCCCATGGCAGAGTGGCGAAGCGTAAGCAGCTTAAATTGAAGGCCATACAGAGGCCTATGTTAAAAAGTCCCCCCAGCAGCAGTGTGGGGAGACGACTATCAAGAGTCCAATGGCAGAGTGGCGGAGCAGAAGCAGCTTCAATTGAAGAAGAAGAGGATGAGGATGAAGAAGAAGAAGAAGAAGAGGATGAGGATGAAGAAGAAGAAGATGAGGATGAAGAAGAAGAAGAAGAAAGAAGGATGAGGATGAGGAAAAAAGATGAAGAAGAAGAAGAAGAGGATGAGGATGAGAAGAAGAAGAAGAAGAGGATGAGGATGAAAGAAGAAGAGAGGATGAGGATGAAGAAGAAGAGGATGAGGATGAAGAAGAAGAAGAAGAAGAAGAAGAGGATGGGGATGAGGAAGAAGAAGAAGAAGAAGGAAAAAGAAATGAAAAGAAAAAAGAAGAAAAAGAAGAAGAAGAAAAAGAAGAAGAAGAGAAGAAGAGAAGAAGAAGAGATGAGGATGAAGAAGAAGAAGAAGAAGAAAGAGATGAGAGTGAAGAAAGAAAAAAAGAAGAAGAAGAAGAAGAGGAAAAGATGAGAGAAGAAAAAGAAGAAGAAGAGAAAGAAGAAGGATGAAGAAAGAGGATGAAGATGAAGAAGAAGAAGAGAAGAAGAAGAAGATGAGAAGAAGAAGAAGAAAAGAAGAAGAAGAAAAGAGAATGAGAAAGAAAAGAAGAAGAAGAAGAAAAGAAGGAGAGAGAAGAAGAAGAAGAAAAGAAGAAGAAAGAAGAAGAAGAAGAAGAAGAGAATGAAGAAGAAAGAAGAAGAAGAGAGAAGGATGAAAGAAGAAGAAGAATATGAGAAGAAAGAAGAAAGAGAATGAAGAAGAAGAAGAAAAAAGAAAAGAAAAAAAGAAGAAAGAGAAGAAAAAAAAAAGAGAGAAGAAAGAAGAAAAAAAAAAAGAAAGAAAAAAAAAAAATAAGAAAAAGAAGAAGAAGAAAAAAAAGAAAAAAAAAAAAAAAAGAAAAATGAAAAAAGAATGAAAAAAGAGAAGAAGAAGAAGAAGAATGAGAAAGAAGAGAAGAAAATAAGAAAAAAAAGAAGAAAAAAGAAGAAGAATGAAGATGAAAAAAGAAGAAAAAAAAGAAAGAGGAAAAAAAGGAGAAGAAGAAAAAAAAGAAGAAAGTTGAAAAGGAAAAAGAAAAAGAAGGAGAAAGATGAAGAAAAGAAGAATTTGAGTGATGAGAAAAAAGAAGATGAAAAGAGAAGAAAAAGAAGAAGAGGAAAAGGAAAAAAGAAAGAAAAAAGAAAAAAAGAAGGATAGAGAAGAAGAGAGATGAAAGAAGAAAGGAAAAGAAGAGGGGAAAGAAGAAGAAGAAAAAAAAAGAAAAGAAGAAGAAGAAAAAAGAAAAAAAAGAAGAAAGAAAAGAAAAAGAAAGGAAAGAAAAGAAGAAGAAAGAAGAAAAAAAAGAAGAGAAAAAAAAAAGAAAAGAAAAAAAGAAAAAAAAAAAGTGAAGAAAGAAGAAGAAAAGAAAAGGAAGAAAGAAAAAGAAGAAGAGAAGGGAAAAGATGAAAGAAGAAGAAAAGAAAGAAGGAAAAAAGAAAAAAGAGAGGAAAAAAAGAAGGAAAAAAGAAAGAAAAGAAGAAAAAGAGAAGATGAAAGGATAAGAAAGGAGGAGGGAAAAGAAGAAGAAAAAAAGATTGAAGGAAAAAAAAAAAAGTGAAAAATTGTTTTTGAAAAGAAAAAAGAAAGGAAAAAAAGAAATGAGAAAAGGAAAGAAGGAAGAAGAAAGGAAGAAGAAAAAGAAGAAGAAAAAGAAGAAGAATAAAGAAGAAAAGAAGAAGAAGAAAAGAAAGAAAAGAGAATGAAAATTAAAAGAAGGAAAAGAGAAGAGAAAGGAGAGAGAGAGAAAAGGGAAAAGAAAAGAGGAAAAAGGAAGGAAAGGAAAAGGGGATTGGAAAAAGGAAAAGTTGGGGTTTTGGGGGTGGTGGGGGTGTTTTTTTGGGAAGGGGAGAAAAAAAGTTGGAAAAATTTGGGGGGATGAAAGAAGGGGGTTTGAAGTTTTTGGGGATTGAAGAAAGGAGAAGGATGAAAATGAATTTTGGGGTTAAGGAGGGGGGAAGAAGGAAGGAAAGTTTTTGGGGGGGTTGTTTTTGGAGGTTGAAGAGTTTTTGGGGGAGAAAGAAGGTTTTTGGTTGGGGTTTTGATGAGGGGAGATTTTTTGATTGGAAAGGAGAAATGAAAGAAGAAGTTTTGGGAAGAAAGTTTGGATTGGAAAAGGAATTTAGAAAAGGATGAAGAAAAAGGTTTTGGGGAAAAATTTGAAAAGGTGAAAGGTAAAATTTTGAAAAAGAAGAAAGATGAAGAAAAGAAGAATGAAGAAAAGAGAGAAAAAGATGAAGAGAAAGAAGAAGAAAAAAATGAAAAAAATGAAAAAGAAAAAAAAGGGAAAAGAAGAAAGATTAGGAAAGGAGAAGAAGAAGGTAGAAGGAAAAAAAGAAAGAATGGAAGATGAGAAGAAGAAAAAAAAGAAGGAAAAAGAAAAAAAAGAAGAAGAAAAGAAAAAAAAAAAAAAAGAAGAAAAGAAAAAAAAGAAAGGAAGAAGGGGAAGAAGAAGAAGAAAAAAAAAAAAAAAGAAAAGAAGAAGAAAAAGGAAGGAAAAGAAAAAGAAGAAGAAAGGAGGGGAGGAAAGGGAAGGGAAAGAAAAAAAGAAAAAGAAAAAAAAAAAGAAGAAGGAAGAGAGGAGAAAAAAAAAAGGAGAAAGGGGAAAAGAAGGAAAAAAGGAAAAAGAAGAAGAGGGGGAAAGAAAAAAAAGAAGATTGGAAGAAGAAGAGAGAAGAAGAAAAAAGAAAAAAAGGAAAATGAAAAGAAGAAGAGAAGAAAGAATGAAGAAGAAAGGAAGAAAAAGAGAAGATGAAAAAAAGAAAAAGAAGGAGAAGGATGAGGGATTTGAGAAGAAAAGAAATGAGAGAAAAAGAAGAGAGGGAAGAAGAAGAGAAGAAGGTGAAGGAAGAAAAAGAGGATTGATGAAAAAAAAAAGAAGAAGAAGAAGATGAAGAGGAAGAGAAGAAGAAAAGAGGGAAGAAAGAAGAAGAAAAAAAAAAAAGAAGAAGAGAAAAAAAGAAAGAAGAAAAAAAATGTGAGATAAGAAAGAAAAGAAAAAAGGAAAAAGAAGGAAAGAAGAAGAAGAAGAAGAAAGAAGAAAGAAAAGAAAGAAAGAGAAAGAAGAAAAAGGAAGAAATGAAAAAGAAAAAGAAAAAGAAGAAATGAAATGGAAAAGAAAAGAAGAAAAAGAAAAGAGAAGAAAAAAGAAAAAAAAAAAAGGAAAGATGGGAAGGAAAAAAAAAATGAAAAAAAAGAAAGAAGAGGAAAAAGGAGAAAAAGAATGGGAAGAAGAAGGAAAAATGAAAGGAGAAGAAGAGAGAAAAAGAAGGAGAAAAAGAAGGAGAAAAAAAAAGAGGGAAGAAGAAGAGAAAAAAAAAAAAAAAAAAGAGAAGGAAAAAAAAGAAAAAAAAGAAGAAAAAAAAGAAAAAAAAGATGAAAAAAAGATGAAGAAAGAAAAAGAAAAAGAAGAAGAAAGAAGAGAAGAAAGAAGAGAAAAAAAGAAAAGAATTGAAGGAAAGAAGAAAAAAGGATGAGAAGAAGAAAAGAAGAAGAAGAAGGGAAGAAAAAAAGAAGAAGAAGAAAGAAAAAAAAAGAAAAGTGAGAAAAGAAGAAGAAGGAAGAAGAGAAAAGAAAAGAAGAAGAAAGAAGAAAAAGAAGAAGAATAAAAAGAAAAAAGAAAAAAAAAAAAGAAGAATTTGAAGAAGGAAAGAAGAAAAAGAAAGAAAAAAGAAGAGAAGAGAGGATGATGAGAAGAAAAAGAAGGAAAAAGGAAAAGTAAATGGAAGAAGAAAAAAAAAAGAAAAAAAAAAAAGAAAAGAAGAAAAAGAAAAGAAAAAAAAGAAAAGAAAATGAAAAAAGAAGAAAAAAAAGAAAAAGGAAAAGAAAAAGAAGAATGAAGAAGAAAAGAAAGAGAGAAGAAAAAAGAAAGAAGAAAAAGAAGAAAGAAAAAAAAAAAAAAAAAGAAAAAAAAAAGAGAAAGAAAGGAAGAAAAAAAAAGGAAAAAAAAAAAAAAAGAAAGAAAAAGAAGAAAAGAAGAAAGGAAAAGGAGAAGAAGAAGAGAAGAAGAGAGATGAATAGAAAGAAGAAGAAAAAAGGAAAAAAAGAGGAAATTGAGAAAAAAAAAGAAAAAAAGAAGGATGAAAAAAGAAAAAAAAAAAGAAGAAGAAGAAGAGAAAAGAAAAAGAAAAAGAAGAAAAAAAAAAAAAATAAAGAGAAGAAAAAAAGAAAAAAAAAGAGATTGATGAAAAAGGAAGAAAAGAAGAGAAGAAGAAGAAAAAAAAGAGAAAGATGAAAAGAAGAAAAAGAAAAAAAAGGAAAAGAAAAAGAGAAAAGAAAAAAAAGAGAAGAAAAAAAGAAGAAAAAAAAAAAAAAGATGAAAAGAAAGAAGAAAAAAAAAAGAAAAAAGAGAAGAGTGAGAAGGAGAAAAGAAAAAAGGAAGAAAGAGGATATGAAGAAAAGAAAAAAAGAAGAAAAAAAGAGAAAAAAGAAAAAAAAGAGGAAGAAGGAAAAAAAAGAAAAAAGAAAAAAAAAAGAAAGAAAAAAGAAAAAAAAGAAGAAAAGAAAAAAAAAAAAAAAAAAAGGAAAATGAAAAAAGATGAAAAAAAAAGAAAAAAAAAAAAAAAAAAAGAAAGGAGAAAAAAAAAAAAAGAAAGAGAAAAAAGGAAAAGAAAAGAAGAAAAAGAAAAGAAAAAAAAAAAAAAAAAAAAGGAGAAAGAAAAAAAAAAAAAGAGAAAAGAAGAAAGAAAAATAAAAAAAAAAAGAAGAGAAGAAAAAAGAAAAGAGAGAAAGGAAAAAAAAAAGAAAAAAAAAGGAAAAAAAAAAAAAAGAAAAAAAAGAAGAAGAAGAAGAAAAAAAAAGAAAAGAAGAAAAGAAGAAAGGAATAGAAAAAAAAAAAAAGAAAAGAAAGAAGGAAAAGAAAAAAAAGAAGAGGAAAAAAAAAAAAAGAAAAGAGGGTGAAGGAAAAGAAAAAAAAAGAAGAAAAAAAAAAAAAGGAAAAAAAAAGAAAAGAAAAAAGAAGAAAGATGAAAGAAAAGAAAAAAGAAAAGAAAAATGAAGAGAAGAAGAA